GCACTGACCTGATGGAGATTCCCAGTGCATTATGACTGAAGGAAGACCCCAAGTGCGTGTACCCTACTGGACTTCCTTCTCTCCCCTCCCCTGCGTTTTGGGGTTCCCACTCTCTTGATTCTCTTTGTAGCCTCCATGCGTGAGCCTTAAACAATATTTTGTTCACTATTTGAATTTTTGTCTAAATGGAATGATATTGAATGTGCTCTTTGGGGACTTGTTTCACACTTTTGGAGACTCATTGCTGTTGATTCTTGTAGCCACAGTTCAATCGCCTTTGCTGCTGTAAAAGATTTCATTGTATAACCAAACCTCCACTTGTTCCTTTAACTCTACAGCTGATGGGCCTTTGGGCTGTTTTTCGTTGTTTTTTTACTACTACAATGTTTCAGTAGGCATTATGAATACACCTCCTTGGGTATATGTATCAGGAGTGGAACATATATCCAACTCTGTAAGTCAAATTTGTTCCCAAGAGTAGAGGAGTAATTATAATCCTTCTTCCAACAGTTTGTCTGAGTTCCTTTCCTCACAAGCTTGTCAACAATTGGCATTGTTAGACTTGTAAACTTGTGAGAGTGCGGAAAGGGTGTTTTGTAGTTTTATTTGTCATTTCCTTGATTACTAATGAAGACAAGCATCATTCACTGGCAAAAAAGAAAAACAAAATATCAAACTTCAGTACACTGAAAGAAAGCATTACCGAAATGAAAACATAAACCACAGGCAAGGAGAAGAAGTGTGCAGCTCATCAAACCGGCAGAGGACTGGAAGTGAAAGAGTGGATTCCTCAAAACCATACACAATGCCATGGGCAGAAGAAGAGACCCAGACAACCAGCAAAACGCAAGGCTCAGACTCCCACAAAACCAGAGAACTGGAGAAGCAAACCTCACAAGTGGAGGGCCAACCAGCGAGGCACACACGGCAGTTGCAGGATCCAGGAACGGAAAAGTCAAGCAGAAGAGATGTGGATGTAGTGTCTGTAGAAATGTACGTGGTACAGTACCTGGTGAAGTTACAATAGCAGTTCTACAAGTCACTGCCCAGAGTGTAGCCCTGGGATCTTCCCTGATTCAATTAAGAAGAAAAGCACAAGGCTCATTTAAGTGTTATTGCAAATGCAAACATTTGAGGGAAAGAAAAACAGGCAAATGGGTAGAGTGCAGTGTACTCAGGTGATGAAATACTACGTGCCTGTGAGAATGAATTAACCAGAATCCTGTGTACGACCTGATGTACGACCACTGAGTGATGCCATGCCTCAACATCCTGCTACAACATCGCTGTTGATTCCTAGTGACCCTACCTAGGGTTTCTGAGGCTTTAAATCTTCAGAACACAAAGTCTCATCTTTCACCTGCAGAGCAGCTGGTGGGCTTGAACCGTGAACCTAGTGGTTCACGGCCCAGTGCTGATCATATGGAGCCACTGGGGTCCACAGACACTTATTTTGTTACACACAATACTTATTCCTAGTATGGTGCTGTATGATAAGCACTGGACCATCGGGTTGGTTTGATTCCCAAGGTCGGTGGTTCAAACTCACCAGCTGCTCTTCAGAATTCACTATGAGTTGGAACCAAATCAATGGTACTTAATAACAACAACATATATATTCAATCTATATGTGGTATAATAGTGGGTAAAGTTACAATTGCAGCTCCACAAGCCATTGGAGTCCTGGTATGACAATATAGGATAAGCACCGGACTGCTAAATGTAAGGTTGGCAGTTCAATCCCACAAACAGGTTCTTGGAAACCTTATGAAGGGTCATGGTGAGTCAAAACCAACTCAATGGTACTTAACAACAAGAACAATAGGGTGTGAAAATCATCCTAGAAGCTGGATTATATAAAGGAGGATATGACATCAGGACTGGAGGAAGACTCATAACAACCTGTGATTTGCAGATGATACACCCTTGCTTGCTGGAAGTGAAGAGGACTTAAATACTTACTGATAAAGCTCAAAGATCCAGCTTTCAGTACGGATTGCACCTCAATGTCAAGAAAATAAAAATTCTCACCACTGGACCATTAATACCATCAAGATAAATGGAGAAAAGACTGACGTTTTCAAAGACTACCTTATGCTTCGATCTATAATCAACATTTACGAAAGTACAGTCAGGAAATCAAACATTAGGCAAATTGGCTACACCAGACCTCTTTCAAGTGTTCAAGAAAAAAAGATAGTCATTTTCAGGACTAAAGTGCACCTGACTTAAGTCTTGGTATTTTTAAAAACATTATATGCATGTGAAAATTGGACAATGAATAAGGAAGACTGTAGAAGAAAGAATTGATGCACTTGAGTTGTAGTGTTAGAGGAAATTTTTGAAGTACCATGGGTTGCTAAAAGAAGAAACAAATCCATGTCGGAAGAAGTCCAACGAGAGTGCTCCTTAGAATCTAGCATGGTGGGTGAGACGTCATCTCTCTTTCTTTGGACCTGTTATCAGAAGGACCAGTCCCTGAAGAAGGACATCACGCTTGGTACAATGGAGGGTCAATGACAAAGACGAAGACCCCCAGTGAGATGGATTGGCACACTTGCAGCAGCAGGGAGCTCAAGCGTAGCAACAGTTATGAGAATGGTGCAGAACCCGGCGGTGTTTCGAACTGTGTATGCTGGCTGTCTATGAGTCAGAATCAATCTAGCCCCCACCTAACAAACAACAACAGGCTTCCAGCTTGACCTTCTCCAGCACTTTCTACCACCAGACCCATCAGCTGTTAGTCTGTAATGACATACTGACTTTCAGGAGTCCTGGTGATGTAATGTGGTTAAAGTGCTTGGCTGCTAGCAACCCATGGGTTCGAACCCACCAGCCACTCCATGAGAGAAAGATAAGGCAGCGTGCATCTTTCAAGATTCACAGCCTTGGAACCCCATGGGTCAGTGTGAGTAGGAATCAACTGGACAGCAATAGGTTTTGTTTTCTGTTTTGTTTTTGTTTTTGTTTTTTTTGATTCCGCTTACACCAGAACCGACTTACAAAGGAGCTGTTAGAACGAAACCCTGTCATGAACCAGGGACAACCCAACCTAGCAGTACCATGGAGAAGGGCTTGGTAAGTCTGATAACCTCATTCTAGCTTGGGACCAGCTGATATGGCTCCAAGTTGGTTCCTTCTACCTCCACCAACTAAACATACACATTAGGGATTTCAGGAGAATGCATAGTTCCGGATGCCAGCCCTACAGGCAAAAGCCATTAACTGAGCAGTTTTCTGGGGTTTAGGAGCCACTGAGCACCACCAATAGGTCTGCCTTATGGGGGGTCTTCAGGCCCCTAACACCATCCTACAGGGGCAGCTGGGAAGGTAGCATCCAACCTCACAATCAGATGTGTGAACGCCTCGGTTGGGTAAGCACCTCCTTACAGGATCTCCTGGAACATGCACAGCAGCCCGGACATCATAGGCTCACATCACAGGTAAGAAAACCAAGTCTCAGAGTGGGATCTAAACCTAGGGGCCTTATGACCCCATAGTCCATACCCATGTCCCCTTTGTCAAACCAAGATCCTGGCGGAGGACACATCCGCCAGTAGTGAACACCTGCCACATTGAACCGGTCCCTTGTCTACATTGGACCGGGCAGTCAGTACCATCCTTGCTGCCCCATTTTACAGATGAGAAAACCGAGGCCTGGAAAATCAGCTGCTCACAGTCACCTCCCTCCACCTGAAGACATGGCTACATAGGTCTCTGAGGATGGCGCCTCACAGATCCAAGCTCGGTGGCAGACAGCAGCAACTGAAGACCCCAATTTAAGACCCCTGAGGTCCAGAGAGGATTAAGCGCTGAGAGAAGAGGCCCAAGGCATCTCCTGAGCAGGGTTCTCAACCAGAGGAGACGCCTGGCAGCACCAGGAGACACCACTGGGTGGTACAGGTGAGGAGGGGCAGGGAAGACGTGCACAGGGGGCCCACCACAGAACCACTGGCCTCAAACATGGGAAGCACTGAGGTCAACACACCCCACTCTAGGGGTCTCTGAGGCTGCAATCACCCCGACAGCAGCACTGGCCTCCTGGAAGCCGGCTCTGAGTGTAGATGCTGAGGCCCCACCCAGCTCAAGGGGACGTCATGTGTGGGCTGGCCCTGGGGCAACAGGAAGGCAGGGGGCAGGACAGATGTGGTGGACATGGACCCTGTCTCCCATGGCAGTCAGGGATAGCAGGGTTAACTGATCCCCAGGAGGTAGGAAGAGAAGGTTTGGGATATAGCTGTTAAGTCAGACCATGTGTGGGAACCATCCACATTTCCCCTCCCCACACCCCATGAAGCTCAGGGTGCCCACCTGGCCCCCTTGGAGCGGCAGGAAACAGATTGTCTTCTGAATGCTGACAGCCCAAGTCCAGCATCTCGGATCCCCATGCTGCCTTGTCCGAGTGAGGACTGAACGTCGAGGGAACTCGAGCTTCTGAACCTGGAGGCCAGCCGTGAAGCCACCAGCACTCAAAGCAGACCCCAGCCCCATGTGTCCTGCCCAACACAGTAGCTGTCTGACTCCCAGACCACCAATAGGGGACAGCAAGTTCACAAAGCAGTGGGTGGCTCAGGGTCCCCAGCCAGACAACAGGTGGCCAGGCATGGCACACACACTGTCTAAATAAGAAAATTCCAGATACCTAGTTTTTAAAAAACAAAACAACTTAGAAGATGTGGCAATATTGGATCCATACTTTCCTGTAGGGACTCGCTCAGGTGGAGCTGAGCCAGGTGGCCCTTGTGCCTCTGCCCACAGACAAGGTCCCCTCCACACCTATCTATGACCCTTCACTTCTTCCTCGGTGTCTCCTGGCTCCTACAGAGCAGTGACTCTCACCCAGGGGTGATTCTGCTCCTCAGGGGACATCCTGGGTATTATGGGAGCACACAGCATGAAGCAGTTAGCACCAGTTAGTACAGCCCCCTATGTCCAGAGTGCCGCAGACTCAAGAGAGCGGCTGCAGTGTGATGCCCCGAGGATGGGCACTGGGCACTTACTTGGAGAGCTTCATCTCGATTTGCTGCCGGATCTCCTGCCTCTCCTCGTCGGTCCTTCTGGGGAAGATGTTGCGGTCCTCCAGCTCTTGCTTGCTTGGTCTGTTCCTCAGCTTCACTGCCAAGAGCTCCTTCTTGCATTTCCTGGGCAGTGTTCCTATGAGACCCATCGAGGGCAAGAGAGAAGCAGGCCTTAATGGTTTGTCTGTCGTGCCCCACCTTCTGGAGGAAAGTCTGGACCACAATGGGGGAGCAGGAGCTGGGCACACATACACATCCTGCGCTTCCAGGTCCAGGGAGAAAGTGACCCCAACATCTCTGCCCGCCACGCCCCACTGGAGGCACCAGGATTGTTCGGGCTAACACCTGGGCCTGGCATGATCATAAACGATGCTGTCTTTCTCCTTCCAAGCAGTCCGAGTATGGACCACAGATTCCAGCGTTGCTTTGCCCATAGTGGATCCTTGCTGGTCCTACTCACCCCAATGCCTGTCCCAGTGTAGCCACCAAGGTCCTCTTTTCTCAAATGTCCCATCTCAGGGTTTCTTTCCTCTGCCCACCACACTACTCTGTCTGGTCCACTGTTTACAGACTGAATTGTGCCCCTCCCCCCAACTCTCCTCACAAAACTATGTGCTTCAAACCCTAACCCAAGATTCCTGTGGTTAAAATCCCATTTGGAAATGGGTTTCTTTGCTATGCTAATGAGACCAAAATAGTGCAGCTGTTAAATGCTTTGAGTCGGTTCTGGGTTCTGACCCACAGCAACCCTGTATAGAGTTTTCAAGGAGCAGTTGGTGAGCTTGAACCACCGACTTGACTTTGCAGTTCAGCGCATTAACCCACAGCACACCAGGACTCCAAATTAGTGCTAGGTGTATCTTAAATCAATCTGCTGAGATATAAAAGAGATTAAACAAGCATGCAAGCAAGTAGACACTGGTGAGAGAGATGCCATGCCACATGGGACTTTAGAGGAGCCAAGATCAGAAGCTGAAAAGAGATGAGGACCTCCCCCACCCCCGGAGAGCTGAGAGAGAGAGAAAACCCTCTCTTAGAGCCAGCACCCTGGATTCATTCTCCTAGTCCCCTAAACTGTAATAGAATCAATGTCTGCTTGTAGAACTCCCCCACATGTGCTATCTTACGGCAGCACCAGAGAACTAAGGCACCCACCCAGGCTGGCCCTCATCCAGCTGCAAAGCTCAGCTTGAATCTCCTCAAAGGGATCTAAGAGAGTGCCGGGCCCCAGCACATTGCCCGATGAGAACTGCTTCTTTATTGGATGGTGTTCTGACTGCTAAGTTATATCCATCTCCTCTCCTGAGAACGAAGTTCGCTGAGAACTCAACCACCCCGTACCCCAGCTCCTACAGCAACGCTGATGAAGAGGGCTACCCACGAATGATGTGACTTGTGTTGGTGCAGAATATACATACTGAATATATACATATATCACAGAATGCCAGCCAGCTAGACAAACAATCATAGAAGAAATACAACCAGAATGCCCCTCACACACAAGGATGGTGAGACATCAGCTTGCCAACTTTAGACAAGTCTGTAGGAACGGCCAATCACTGGAAAAGGACAGAGAAAACGAGGGAAACTCTTCATCAGACGGCTGGACGTGCTGGGCTCAAACATGGCAGCGGTCATGAAGACGGCACAGGTTTTGTTCTGTTGTACAGGAGGTTGCTGTGAGCTGAGCCGGCTCCATAGAGAAACATCACCAACAGCAATGAACAGTGTGTGACTTGTGGAGTGGACAAGTTCGTGATGCACGGGGCTATCCTGGTCCTCTACCAGCTGAGTGAGATCAGGGCACAACCACGAACAAATGCCTACATTTACTCAAAAGAAGAAATGACACTTAGCTGCAATCACAAACAAAACTGCCATCAGTCCAGGGTGCTCTGAAATGATGGCGTTGGACTTAATGGAGCTTTCTGTGTGAGAGAGTCCCCTCCATCCCCTGATGATTGAAGATGCTGATTCAGGGCATGGAACTTCTAAATATCACGCCGTTTTCACTTCTGCAGTTCTAATGGGGCCTAGGTTCAAATCCAGGGCTGGGCTGAGCTCAAGTCACCATGTTACCCACTTATGTCTACAAACAGAGCTTTATTTCTTAAGAACAATGGTTCTCCTGAAAGTGAGCTTCTACTATAGGAGATAGGAATATAGAGAAGGAAAAAAGAGTCTGGGATAAAGCTAGACACACAGCGCTCCACTCAGCCACGCCATGCACTTCTAACGTGAGTGTACAGATAAAGCAAGAGAAGATGGATGATTCTGGAAACTATTTCACCAAGGGTTCCAGCCCAAATGTGTTTATCAATGTCTGGAGTCCTGTATTTCTAGAATGAGAAAGGGCTGAAGGAGTCGTATGCATTTTTCAGTTTTTCTCTCATATATATTTGTGTGTGTGTGTGTGTGTTTTGGGGGGATTGGAAGCTATGCTGTTGTTGTCCAGTGCCTTCTAGTGGGTTCTGACTCATAGTGACCCTGTATAGAGTTTCTAAGACTTTTCAAATGTTTGTGGCAGCAGAAATCCTCATTTTTCCCACAGAGCGACTGGCAGGCTCAAACCATGGACTTGGTGGTTCACAGACAGGCAAGTGCTTATCGTATAGCGCTTCAACGTTCCGCTGAAAGCGATAGTGGCATTTGTAAGTTCGGGGGAGTCTTGAAGGACTATGGATGAGCCCTCTTGAATGTCCAAGGTCTAACTCAGAGCAAGGGGGGGTGGGCTGCCATGGTCAGAGAGTTGTGAGAACATCCCCCTTCACACTGCATGTGGAGCCCTATGAAAGAGACAGGCTTCAAAGCTGACACAAACGTCGCAGACTCGTCACTACAAACTTCACTCGTATTTGTTCACAAATGAGAAACAGACCTGCCGTCAGAGGTTCCAGATGTGCAAGAGAAGTCATACCACAAGGAACATAGATGCTGACAACAAGTAATTCACCCCTGTTTATTAAACCAACTTCCATGGACCAGCATGGCCACGCAGTAGGGCCACAGTGAAGATGCACAGATGATGATACTTCCCAAGGTCTCAGGAGACTACAGGCCTGTCTGCTTCCATGGCAACAAAAGAAAATTTCCTCCCTATGACTCAACTTTCAGCCAAATGAGAGACAGGCTGCTAAGGTGAACAATCATCCCAAGACTGGTCACACCTCCTTTAACAATCAACCACAGGTGAGCAGAATGGCAGCATTTGTCCAGGGAGAAAGCTCAGAGGCAGGAAGGGACGGGAGAGAAGACTGGAGACAGAAGGCACAGAGGAGGAAGTGGGAAGAGCCCTGTTATACTGCGGGATTACAATCAGTGTCATGCAACAAAACGTGGATCGGGAAAACAATGTGCTCTGTAAAGTTTCACCTCAATCACAGCAGAAAGTCAACAGCAACTTCTGGAGAGGAAATTTCCAGAATACGTCTTAGCATGAGGGCTGTCTGAGTTGAGTGGCCCTCTGTCCTAGTTGACACAATTCATCTAAATGAGGTGCATGCTCAGAGCACACAGCCTAACAATGAAACCGCAAATGCAGAGAAACAGAGAGGGGAACTGCTCTGTCCAGACTTCAGGAAGCAAGAGATGTTCCCTCTACGAATATCCTGAGATTGGCTTGAATCCCTTTACCTCAGAAACCCCACTTCTAGAAGCATCCTTCCTAAAACTAATGCAACATATTAAAAACAGTAGCGTAGTGGTTACGAATCGGGCTGCGAACCTTAAGGTCAGTGGTTCGAAACTACCAGCCGCTCCGCGGGAGAAAGATGAGGCTTTCTACTCCCGTAAGGATTTACACCCTCAGAAACCCTGTACAGGGTCGCTATGGGTCGGCTCCGACTCGAAGGCACTTAACAACAACAACAACAACACTGCTAATAATAAACATGAAAGTCTCAGAAACCCTATATATGGTCACTGATTTATAATAGCCTATGATTGTGGCTACAGAACAAAGTGGACCTGCTCCACGGAATTCAAGGCAGTAAATGTTTACAGAAGCAAACTGAAAAGTCTATCTTAACATTATTTATGAGGCAGAAATTAAGGACAAACTAAATATCCCACAAGAGGAGATGTGTTAAAACACATTAAGGTGCACTGAGTCGGGCAGCTAACCTCAAGGTCAGCAGTTCGAAACTACTGGCTGCTCCATGGGAGAAAAATGAGGTTTTCTGGTCCTGTCAAGATTTATAGACTCAGAAACCCTATTCAGGGTCGCTGTGAGTCGGAACCAACTCGTAGCATACTGCCACCACCACCCACCAACAAACCATGTGAATAGCAGGTATCTGTAGCTGTTCAAAAGGTGGTGTAGATGCTACTGAGCAGTCCTTGGGTGATACAAACAGTAGAGATTGGTGCTTCAAATCCACCCAGCAGCACCTCTGGTCTGGTGATCTGCTCCTGAAACCGACAGCCTTGAAAATGACGGAGTAGCTCCACCTTGCATACACGGAGTTGCCATGAGTCAAAATGAACTCAACACAGATGTTACTGAATGATAAACACACACTTCTGGAGGATCGCTAAAGAAAGCAAGTGACAGAAAAGCATGCATGGGTGTTGTGTGTGTCCAATTTTGCAAATATGATTATCAGTATTATCAACTGGTACCCAAAAAGCCAATAATTAATCATCTGACTTTAGTTCTCTGCATTTTATTTTAATATGGAGGCTGGTGGCATCCTTGAGCATGTTTAAATGTTGAACTGCTAACCAAAGGGTCAGCAGTTCAAACCTGCAAGTCGCTCCGCAGAAGGAAGATGCGGCAGCCTGCTTCTGTTAACACTTACAGCCTTGAATTCCATGGAGCAGGTGTACTTTGTCCTGTACCACAATCACAGGCTATTATGACTCACAGTGACCATATATGGGATTTCCGAGACTGTAAATCCTTACAGGAGCAGAAAGCCTCATCATTCTCAGAGGAGTGGTTCGTGGGTTTGAACTGCCAACTTTGAAACTAGCAGTCCCCATGCCACGACGGCTCCTTAGTCAACTGGACGGTAATGAAAAATTTATTTTAAAAAGACTATCAGATGATGTCAACAAAAATGCCAGAGTAATAATTGGTGACCACATTCATCACCGATAAGGGGAAGTGAGGGAAAAACAGCAAACGAAGCTGCG